GGAGGCTGGGGCAGGAGGGCCGTAAGTTGGAGACCAGCCTGAACAACTTAGGGAAACCTGTCTCCAAAGGGAGGAAAAAAAATTGGGGTGATCAGTGCCAGAGCACTTGGCTAGCATGTTTGAGGTTCTAGGTTCAATTCCCAGTACTGACCAAAAAAAGTTCAATTTTCTCAAGTTTTTCACATCTTGGTGTCAGTATAGGCAATGTAATTCCCCTTTTTATCCTGCTTGCCAGAAAGCTCATTAGGGGAGAGCTTAGTATTTCCCACATTTTCTGTGATCTTGATTCTCTATTTTCAGTGTGAATACTTACCTATTTATGTGCGTGTTGGCTGAATTGTTTTTCCATACCATCCATCTTAGGCCATTTACTTTGCTCTGGTTTCCTGGGTTGCTTCTGGCAAAAGACATCATCTACTCATCATTGCCATCACCTAGTCCTTCACTAAAATGGGAGCGGTTCAGTGATTTGGGAATCACTGATAAGCAGGTGGCAAAATCTGACCCAGGCTATTTCTCATTTAAAGACCTTGTAAAAAGATACCATCATTTTCTAAGTACCTGTTGTATGCTAGCAACTGTCACATTTCTCAATCCAAGCAAAATCTTTTTCATTATCAAGTCTTATGGTTTGGGCATAAGAATGTCAGTCTCAGAAATGTCAAATAATGCCAGGTGTACTGGTACATGTCTATGATCCCAGACACTCTGCAGGCCAAAGGCAGGAGGATGGAAAATTCCAAGCTGGCCTCAGTCACTTTTGAGACCCTGTCTCAAAAGTAATAAAAAGAGGGAGACTGGGGTTGTGGCTCAGTGGCAAAGCGCTTGCCTAGCTTGTGTGAGGCTCTGGGTTTGTTTCTCAGCACCACATATAAATAAATGAATAAAATACAGGTTTATTAACATCTAAAAAATGTATTTAAAAAAAAAAGGAATAAAAAGGGCTGGAGATGTGGCTTTGTGGTAAAGTGTCCACAGAGAAGAAAAGAAAGGGAAGGGAAGTCAGGTCAAATAAAGTAACTGAAGCAGCACATTAAGTGGCAGATCTGGGATTTGAATCTAAATCCTTCTAACAGAACCCTTCCTGCCGCAGTCTGGCTGGGCACAAATCACCTAAAAGCACTTGTATGTTCAAACAGGAAACTTTATTGCCTGAACTCCAACAGCACTCCACAAACACTCCCCAGGAACTCTCCCGAACACCACCCACGCAGCCCCTCTCAGGCACACCACACCACACCACACACCGGAACTTCACCAACCAACGGGAACTCCCCAGGAATCCCTGCAAGAGCTCCAAAGTAGCGGGTGCCCCAGGCGGACAGCAGGGGTCTATATACATTGAATCAATCCAGCATCATCTTAAAGGCCTCTCAACCATTACTTCTGGCAAAATGCCAGGTGTCATCCCCACTGGCTGTGGCCTTCAACACCTTCCTTCTCACCTATTTGAGTAGTAACGGTGCTTTGCATTTAGGAATACAAAAAGGTATTTTGATCTACATACCATGATTCTGCCTTATAGCACACTTTCATTCACGCAATTGTTTCCAAGAACTTAATTCAAAGTTTGATGTTCTCCTAGTGGAGAAAGGCTAGACTACAACAGAACAGGTTCCTGGACAGTAGTGCAGCCCCTTTGTCTACTCCCCAATTCCTCTATTTGAGAGGACTTAAACTTACACAAGAAATAACCATTATACACAGACACACAAACTCTTTTGATAGGTGTGTGCAAAGAATCCCCTGGGATTGAAGCCGGGGCACTTAACCACTGAGTCACATTCCCATCCTGTTTTATTTTGAGACAGGGTCTTGCTAAGTTGTTCATGCTGACCTTGAACTTGCAATCATCCTGCCTCAGCCTCCAGAGTTGCTAGGTTTACAGGTATGTGCCACTGTGCTTGTCTAACTATTATAGTGTTTTAACCATTACATCATTTAAATGATTATATCAAAAATCATTGTGTAAAGCTTAATTAGATGATTATTAAGAATTCTACTTGAGGGCTGGGGGTGTGCCCTAGTGGTAAAGTGATTTCCTAGCCCATGAGAGATCCTGAGTTCCATTCCCAGCAAAGAAATTGAGTATATTGCTTCCTATGGTCACCCAGCAATTTGTAAAGGAGAATTTATGAATTGGTGTAGTGGTGTACCCCTATAACCCCAGCTACTGGGGAGGCTGAGACAGGAGTGCAAGTTCCAGGACAGCCTAAACAACTTAGTGAGATCCTCTCTCAAAATTTAAAACACCAAACAACAACAACAAAAGACTGAAAATAGTGGCCAAGGGTGTAGCTCAGTGGTAAAGCTGCCTGTTTAGTGTAGGAGAGGCCCAAAAATTAATCTCTCATAAAAAAAAAAAAAGATTGAAAATGACTTTAGGAATATCCTATTTCAACAACTTATTTTACAAACATTCCAAGGACAGAAGACTTGCCAAGGTCATATCCTTGCTTGGTGCCCTCTAGAAAGGAAATACGATGCTATGAATGGTGTGATTCCTGGGAAACACTGGACTCTTGCTGAAATTAATCACAGAACTGGCCATGAAGCTCAGGGTGGAGCACTTACCTACAATGTGGGGACCTTGGGTTCAACCCCAACACCCCCCCACACACACAAGAACACTTATTATAAGATATGGTGGCCAAGCCTGTAATCCCAGTGCCGCAGGAGGCTAAGACAGGAGGATGGCGAGTCCAAAGCCAGCCTCAGCAAAAAGCTTGGCGCTATGCAACTCAGTGAGACCCTGTTTCTAAATAAAATACAAAAATAGGGCTGGGGATGTGGCTCAGTGGTCAAGTGCTCCTGAGTTCAATCCCTGGTACCAAACAAAGAACACCTCACTGGTCGGGCATGAAGTGGTGGTGTATGCCTAATCCCCAAGGCTCAGAAGGCTGAAGCCGGTCTCAAAATTTTAAAAGAGCTGGAAATGTGGCTCAGTGGTTAAGCATCCTGGGTTCAATCCCTGGTACCTAAATAAATAGACTCACTGGTAAACATTCAGTTTTGAAATCAAACTCCCTCTTTTGCTTACTCTTCCCACTGGACATAGTAAGAACACAAAAAAGAGTCACCTGGGCAGATCAGGAGTTAATCAGAAGAATGCAGTTATTATAAAAGCTGTTTTGCTCATAACCTGTTATGAGCCCAAAGTTTCCCAGCTTTAAAAAAGACTGAACCTGCTAAGCAGACTTCAGAAAACAAACAAGAATCCCTTTTGTAAATAATCACGCAGCATAGGTGTTTTGTTTTTTAATTTACTCTTTTTTGAAAGCCTAAGTGCTAGTTATAGGTAAGGACAGGATCCCTTAACTTTTCCTGAGATGATTTTTCCCACTAATGAAGACAGCTGTTGGCAGGGGGAGGGGAAAGGGAAGGTTAGTAACCCAGTAGTAAGTCTAAGGCACAAGAGGCTTTCTCAATAAGCTGAGGCTCCCAAGCTACCGGATCAGGACTCAGGATCTATGATTGAGCTGCCCTATGTAGGTCATGCAGTTGACATGATTACTTTGGATGGCTTTTTGACATGGCTCCATGGAATTTTACAATTATGACCCTTCTACGTAGTGATAAATAGCACAATAAGTGAGATTAAATGAATCCCAAAGGACTGGCAAATAGTCATGACTTATAATTCCTGGCAAAACCTGAGTTTTCTGTATAAAACATAAAAATTTGATACACTTTTTACTTTCTTTCAACTTTCTGATTTTAGAACCAGTAGTTTTCTCATCTTAAGATGTTCTCTACTCACTCCAGCACAAAGCATTCCTATATTCAGTCTAATGGAGATAGAGTATCAACAGCTTCAAGAAGGTCACAAGGCAGGGGCATAGCTCAGTGGCAGAATGCTTGCACAGTGTGCCCAAGGCTTTGCGTTCCAACCCCAGCACACCCCCCACCAAAGGTCACAATTTCCAGCTACAGGAAAACAAGATTTTAAAGACCCACTGGTTTCTCTCAAACTAATTGTTTTAAATGCTCAGCTTTTATCTCAATTTTCCCTACTCAACTCAATGGTTAAGTGCTTTAGTTTATAATTGGCTCTATAAAACACAAAGTCACTCCTATATAATAGTGATGAATATCTAAGGAAAAAAACACATAACACTGTGCTCTAAATCTGTCATCAATCATATAGGCAAGGAAGAAGACCAAAGTAAACACTGGCCCAAAAGTAACTGATAGGAATATTCAAAACACCCGAACTGTGATTAAATATTAAAACATAATCAGATTAAGGAGGCCTTAATTTTCTCTTCTGTAAAAAATAAGCAGGTCCTGCCAAATTATCTTCACAACTGTACTGTTCAGTTAAAAAAAAAAAAAAAAAGGTGCATACCACCACATGGATGGACCTTGAGAGCACAGTGCTAACCCAGGTACAAAAGGCCACAAGCTGTCTGCTTCTGTCTGTATCAAATGTCTGAAACAGGTAGGTCCATAGACAGAATTGTAGATTCCTGGTTGCCAGGGGCTGGGAGTAACTAATCACAAGTTTCTCTTTGAAGTGATGAAAATGTTTGAAATAAGACAGTAGTGACTTGCACAGTCCAGTGATACAGAAGAAACTACTGAACTGTGAGAATTTTATCATTTTTTTAAAGGCATTTAAAAAAAGCAGACTTCAAGCAAGTTGGCATACAAGCAGAGACCTACAAAATCCAAATATTTGGTTTCCACAAACATGCTGACTCCCGCTAAAATGTCTTTTTTTTTAAACCAAAAAGTGCTAACAAACAAATAACTAGTACCCAGAGAACACCCCACATGTACATTATTTTTGTAAGGGCTTCAGATAACTAAGCTTGGCATAAAACTGTAAAATTGGTTGCACAGCTCACTCCAATCTACCTGATTAGTTGAGTAAACTGCACTATCGTTAGAATACAATTCTCATGCTAGGATAGAATTTGCATATAGGAAAACTGTTAACAGGTCAACACACACAATCTTAATTTAACTATCTACTTTGATCTAATTTCCTCACTTACCATTGTATCGTCCTATTTCAGTTTTGAAGGTGAAATTATTTTCAGAATTTGAACTTGGGATATGCAGAGTTGAACACAAACTAGTTAGCTTCTCTTTGGTACTAATTCCAAATCACAAGGACAAGGAAGGAGGACAGTTTACCACAAAGCATGTCTGAGAAAACAGGCCATCATCCTACATTGCTACCATTGGATATGCATAACTAACGTTAGGCAGAGTACTCCCTAATACACCAGACAACTAATACTTTCAAGAAATACACATTAAAATAACCCCAAATTGTGAATCCTTCCAATCAGCCACTTTCACAGGGAAAGTGATGACTTGAAAAGCTGACCTGATGGTAAATTAACCCACATTAGGCCTCTCAGGCTTTCTTTCCCAGCCAGCTGCCTTGATCCACACACTTTATGAAGCAACTTCACACACTGTGAGGCCTTCTGGGTCTGGAAAAGTGGGTTTACAACTTGGTAAGACCATGTGCAGAAAGTTAGCAAACACCTGTTCCCTAATTTACTGTAAAAGCAACATGGCCATACCATGAAATGAAGTAAATTTACGTGGTTAATGTACCTTTACCTACATATCTAAATTCAAATGGCATACCAATCCAGCCAATTCACCAGGAACATATACCTCCCTCCATTATTCTACTTCTATTAGTGAGAAGTCATGGCTTTTAGCTCCAACATGATCAGTGCACAACCCTCATGAGCCACCAAAATATGCAGAGGGTATCTTGCAATCACTATTAGGCACTTGCATACTCTTAGTTTTACTCAGTCCTTTTTGAATCACAGACCCAACTAGTTTAGTTATCCAGACACAGCCAGGACCTTTCATCCTCTGTTCATTCTTGCCTGTGAATTTTAACGATCTTTTAATACTCAAAGATCATGGATATTTTGAGGTTCCACCCAATTTCAAGAATCTAGGATATAGGTTTAAGTTATGGGGCAAGGGGTTCTACCTCAAACTCAGTAACAATTATCATAGTTGCTGGATTCCCCCAGATACAGTAGGATTCCTAGTCGAGGGATATCCCTGCAATCAGCTAGGCAGCATAAGAACCCAGTTACCGGACACCAACGTGACAAACCAGCCCAGAGTCTACGCAACCTTTTCATAGTTATAAACCGAAACTCATAAATTTTACTTGTCAGGTCAGATTCTTCCGCCATACATGTGTTTTCTGGCCTTCGTTACAAATCGTATAATAACAGTAACCTCTCGCTTGTTGGAATCCTTTCCACGGAGAAAAAAACAACAACTTTCTATAAAGTAAAGCCAGAAAGACTTAAAACTAACTGTCCGACTTAGTTTGGTGGCAACATCCATTGCTGCGCAAACCAACCCAATCAATTTGCAGAGAGCTGAACGCTAAACCCCAGCGAAACCCAGGGGCGCTTGCCCCACGCGCGAAGGCCCTTCCGCCAGCTCCCGCCCGGCTCCAGCGAGGAACGCGACCGCAGCGCGGTGACAGGCTCCAACCGACGCCCGAGCCGGCACACGCGGGCCCTACGTGAAGCACCAAGTCCCGCCCCGCAGCGCCGCCGGCCGGGGCAGCGTGACCGCGGGGCAGGGTCCGGGACGCCGGGAGGGAGGAAGCCGGCCCGGTTCCGCGCGCCGCCCCCTCCCGGAAGGCCGCGAG